AGACTAAAAGGGAGCAAAAAAGAGATAGAAATAGAAAAAGCACATAAGCAGATTTGACTGCATGTGGCCTTGAATTTAGGGACTGGCAAGCAGGAGTGCATTTGTCTTTTTTCCTTTTAGTTGAGCACCTGTTCATTAGAGAGCACATGCAGATCTCAATTTCTAGAGAGTCCAGATAACTTGCCCTAAAAAATGAATTCCACATAAAGGACTAATGTATTTTAGTAGAGTTAGTCTCTATTAGTCAACCTCCAAGTCTGTCACTCACCTGCCTCCACTTCTTCAAAACCTATTCTTCAGAGGCTCTAAAAATGTGCTGCATTTCAGCAGAAAGCAAGTTCAAAGAATTTTCACAGTATCCAAGTGCTTCAGGTTGCGAAGCACAATCGTATATGGTATAACATAATGTATTCACTTTTGAAAATAATTATGTGGCATAACGTTAATATGTTAATTTATAATATTTTACAGGGTAAAAAGCAAGACATTCCACGAGAAGAACAAGGTCCAACAATTAAAAACTTGGATTTCTGGCCAAACCTTATTACTCTTATGGTCACTATCATTGATGAGGATAAGACTTCGTACACACCCATTTTAAACCAGTGAGTACTAAAATATGAAAACACCCATCAATCATAAGCTGCTGCAAATCTACAGAGTACCACTCAGTGTTTAATAAGAAGTTTTAAGAACTGCTACAAACAAATTGATGCATATCATACTTTTACTTGAAGGCTATGTTAGTTCACTGCCCTCTGAAAAGTGATCCGAGGGGGTTGGTGTCCAGGAGGCCATACTTCTGCCTTCTAAATGCATTTTTGTTAAATTCCAGCTCGGATTTTCTTTTGCAATGTCATGCTGCAAATTCATACCCATGCGGCTGTGGCACAGTCCCATTAATTGCAATGATCACATTTGAAAAGCGGCACCGTTTACCAAACACAACATGCTGTATATTTTTTGCTGCACCACGACACAAGGCATAGTGGCAGCAGCAATGTATACAGTGCTAATTGACCGCAGTGCTGACATTGCAGAAAGTGACTGGGGGGCAGTGAATCCATGGATTAATCACCTGGATTTATTGCCCCTTTACCACCCACATAAATGAGGCCTTAGACACATCTACTTGTTTCTAAGAGCCACTAAGGCCAAGACAGCACTTTGAGAGTCAGCTTTTTTTATATTAACAGCAAGAAAATTAGAACTTCAACCACTATTTAGTATCAGATAAAGTGGGGAAGGGATAGATTTGTTTCTTTGTGTGGTTCCAGAGTAGACATTGCAGTCAAAAGACCATAGAACCAATCATGCAGGATTGAAATAGACATTACCTAATGCCAAATAAATGA